CGCACCCCGCACCGGCCGACGCTCCAATCGTTGTGTAGTACCTTCTCCTCGAAATGTTCGTTCCGGACATGCGTGTGTAGTGCGCCCCCCGGCATGCAAGCGATGTCCGCCTGCTCCCAAGCTTCTGGGACTGAGGTGCACACATCGAGGACTCCATTTGTGTGCAGGCGGCACCCTTCCGATCGTTCGCCGATGTCCGAAACCGGCATGTCCCTAACTAACTTTTCCAGGAGAAGGTACTACCCAACCATTGGAGCCTCGGCCGGTGCGGGGTGCGGCTCTGGGCCTGTGGGGGGGCATGGCCTCTTTTCACAGCCGAAAAAGGCACCCGCCCCCCCGGTTGTCGAGCTGCTTCGCCATAATAAGACAGCTGTCGCGGCCTACCAACAACCAAAAAGCGGGGTTGTCGCACAGCCGAGGTACGGCCTCGTTCGTCCCTCGCACCCGGCCTGAGAGCGCTGGCACCGCTAATATTAGCACCTTGGGCGCCGAATAGGCGCCCAAATAGTGGCACTAATAGTTCCCAACTGCTCCGTTGCGCCGCGCGCTGCGAGACAGTCAACCCTCTTCATGTGCTAAGTCACAGCCCGGTGTCGTATGACACCATTCCCCCAAACCACCCGGATACGAGTTCCTTATACCAATCCTACAGTCGTCTGAGACGACACCCGGATCGAGGATGGCTTTGCAGCCTCACCCGCGATCAACAATACCGCAGAGCCGCGCACACGGCTCACCACCACCACCACTTGCTGAACACCGACCTTCGGGTTCAGATGCCGATCCCTCTGCAAACGAGGAAAGAGAGACGTCTCACGATACTACGGAGGGCCTCGACCACGGTCAGACCACCCCGATCCCTACCACAGCTCTTGAGAAGATGAAAAAGAAGTATGTTACGTGTTGGGGTCCAAAGATCGTCGTTGTGGCGCTGCGGGAACATCCCCAGGGCCTCCAGGGCTCACACCTCAACCTCTCATAGACCAGCGCACAGCGCAAGCCCCAACGGATTTTCTTCTCATAATAAGGCTGGGAACGGCGTCCCGAGAAGTGGCCCTCCCCTCTCCATCCCTTCCCTAAAATGTTGGTCCCCTCCATCGCCGCGCTTCTGTCGTCAGTCGCGTCAACGCCGGCGGCCGGCGTCGTCCTCGCCGACGACCGTTCGCCGGCGGGTGAGCGCCGCTTGCCCGAGCGACGCCACCTGCACGAACGCAGCATGCGCGGCGGCGGCGGCACGCTCTTTCAGAGATTTTTCCCGCGGACGCCGGGAGAGCAGCCAGAGGTCATCTCATCGCCGCTGGAGCACGCCCTGCCCAACGTCGACGACGGCGGGCTGGGAAAGGCGTACACCAGCGTGCCCGAGCCGCCGCGGAAGTGGGACGTGTGCGTCGTCGGCGCGGGGCTGAGCGGCGGTGTGATCGCTGAGCGGTACGCGACGCTGCGCAAGCAATCGGTGCTGATCGTCGAGAAGCGGCGCCACATCGCCGGCAACTGCTACGACTTTCTCGACGACCAGACCGGACTCCGGCTCAATCTGTCCGCCCTGCCCTCTCGACTCCCCGCCTCCCTCCCTCCGCCTCCACCTCCGCCCGCCTCCCCACCTCCGCCAGCCTGCCCCTGCTCTGAGCAGGCACCTTCTCCCCGCCTCCCTCCCTCCACCTCCCCACCTCCGCCCGCCTCCCCACCTCCGCCAGCCTGCCCCTGCTCTGAGCAGGTACGGCCCGCACAACTTCCACACCAAGCTGACAAACGTCTGGGACTACGTGAAGCGGTTCGGCCGCTGGGCCCACTACTACCACAAGAAGCTGGCCTGGTCCGAGGGGCGGTTTGTCCCCTTCCCGCTCAACACCGAGACGCTCAACACGATCTACGACCAGCACCTCATGGGCGCGAATGAGACGGCAGCCTTCCTCGCAAAGATCGCAGAGCCGTGCGGCCCGGGAGGGTGCTCAAACTCGGAGCAGCAGTCGGTAGCGAGCGTCGGCAGGGCGGCGTACAACCAATTCTACCGTGGCTACACGCTGAAGCAGTGGGGCGTCGACCCGTCGCAGCTCGACGCGCTCGTGACGGGGAGGATCTCGGTTCGCAGCGACTTTGACAACCGCTACTTCACCGACCGCTACCAGAGCCAGCCGAGGGACGGGTACACACGGTGGATGGCGGGCATCTTGAGCGACCCTCTCATCGACCTCGTGCTGGGCGTCGACTGGTTCGACGTGCAGCAGCGCCTCGCCGGCCGGTGCGGCAAGCTCATTTTCACCGGCCCGATCGACCACTACTTCGCCGACTCGGGCCTGCCGAAGCTGACGTACCGCTCGCTCCGCTTCGAGAAGCTGGCCGTGCTCAACATCGGAGAGCACGGGTACTACCAGCCCGGCACGTCGGTCAACTACCCCGAGATGGCCGTCCCCTTCACTCGCTCGACTGAGTACGAGCTCTGCCCCGCGGGACGGCCAACTCATTTAGACGATGACTACTCGCTCATTGGTCCACAGGTACAAGCACTACCCCGGCCAGCCGCGCAGCAACCACACCGTCGTGGCGCGCGGAGACGAGCGGTCTTTGGTCGCAAGCTGTGAATAGCGCCTCTTGACAGGCGCAGACAGTGAACAGGTGCGCGAGACGAGCGGCGCGGACGGCGAGCCGTACTACCCGGTGCCGAACCCGCGCAACCACGCGCTGTACGCCAAGTACAAGGCGCGCGTGCCCCCCCCCCCCCCCTCTCCCTCTCCCTCCCCCGAGACGGCTCAAAGGGGCCGAGACTCTCTCCTCCGGCTCTACCTCGAGATTGCCCCGAGACTAGGCGCTCGCGGACAAGGAGGCGCTCAAGGGCGTGCACTTCGTGGGCCGGCTGGCAAACTACAAGTACTTCAACATGGACCAGGCGGCCATCTCGAGACAAGCCACTCGAGACCGCGCGAGACCACCCGAGATTACCACCCGAGATCACCCGAGAGCGCCCGAGAGTGCCCGAGCAGGCGATCGACAACGCGCTCAGGATCTTCGACGGCCTCGACCGGGACAGCGCGCCCGGCCGGCCCCCGGTCAAGAAGAGGAAGAAGGAGCACAAGGGGGGCGCACACGAAGACGCGCTGCATTTCGACTGACCAGCGCAGAATCTAGTCCTAGACGCGAGGCGTAATTCCCGAACTGAGTCGGATTTCGACGTCCCACGCTTAAAATTCGCAATGTTCAAAATGCTCCAAGTGCTCCAAAATGGCTAGCCAATATCTTCTCTCCGCACTAAAGTCTCGCATCGGGGTTCATTTCAACAAAAAGACATGTAGAGATCTGAAGGCAAAACCAAAAGGCTAAAGGGCGGTGTGGCCGCGTGCGGACCGTGAGTTGACGGAAATCGGGGGACGCGACCCTCCCACTTCGCCACAGACGGTCCCGCGCCTCGCCGCTATGACGGGCACACGCCCCGCACCGTCCGCTGTGTGCCCGTCTTTGTCCGGAGTGAAAAGTCCAACGCGCTCGTCGGTGGCGGCTTCCCCCGACTGCGCCGCGCTCGGCGAACCTCGACAGCGCCTTGGGTGGCATGCAGCTCTTTGCGCCTGAAGCCTGGAGAGCAACGCCAGCACTTGCGCGAGTGCGGCGGGTGCGCGAGCGCCCCGAGCGGCCCGCCGCCGTTGGGGGCGCGCAAGCAGTGTGGTCTCCGCCCCATCCACACTGCACCAGCACCAGCACCACCACCCTCGTTCCACGGACGGGGTGCTGGTGGGCGTCTCCCTGCTGTTGATCGCGGCGACGGGTTAGAGTCGAGGTTGAAATTGTAGTACAGCTTACTGGGAGAAAAGAGAGAGGGGGTGTGTTCTCTAGGCCCCTAATAAATTGTACGCCGGGGCCAGCCGGCTCTTTGTAAGTACGCCGGAACGCTGAACACACGTATGGTGGCGTGCAGCATTTTTGGCGAGGCGGCGGCGGGAGCGAGTGACGCGGCCTCTTCGAGCTCACTGGGCAGCCTTCCCGCAGAGGCGGCGAACGCGGCTGCGGAAGGCGACGAGGCGGCGCTGCTGGCGTGGATTGACAGCGGCGGGCAGGTCAACGCGACTTGCGGGGTAGGCAATGCGAGCGGCAGCACTGCGCTGATGCTCGCTGCCCAGGAGGGCCACGAGCGGGTGGTCGAGCTGCTGCTGCAGCACGGCGCTGAGATCAGCCTGCAGAACAGCGTCGGCTGGACCGCGCTGATGCTCGCCGCCCAGGAGGGGCACGAGCGGGTGGTCGAGCTGTTGCTGCAGCGCGGCGCGGAGATCAACTTGCAGAACAGCTACGGCGTCACCGCGCTGATGCTTGCCGCCAACTACGGCCACGAGCGGGTGATCGAGTTGCTGCTGCAGCGTGGCGCGGAGATCGACGAGCAGAACAGCAAAGGCGGCACCGCGCTGATGGGCGCCGCCGACAACGGCCATGAGCGGGTGGTCGAGCTGCTGCTGCTTCGGCACGGCGCAGAGGTCGACGAGCAGAACAGCGCCGGCGGCACCGCGCTGATGGGCGCCGCCGGCAACGGCCACGAGCGGGTGGTCGAGTTGCTGCTGCGGCACGGCGCTGATGTCAACCTGCAGAACAACGAAAGCGGCACCGCGCTGATGGACGCTGCCGCCGAAGGCCACGAGCGGGTGGTAGAGCTGTTGCTGCAGCGCGGCGCAGAGATCGACATGCAGACCAGCGACGGCGTCACCGCACTGATGGCCGCCGCTTTCGAAGGCCACCCCGCCGTCGTGCTCCGCTTGCTGCGGGCGGGCGCGGATACGAAGCTGCGCTCTGTGAACGGCAAGTCCGCGCTGCAGTTTGCCAAAGAGAATGGCCACGCCGCGTGTGTCGAGGCCTTCCGGCAGCACGTCGCGGAGGTGACTGCGAGCCGGCGCGAGGCGGCGGCGGGCGGCGCGGGGCGGCGCGAGGCGGCGGCGAGAGGGGCGGGCGGCGCTTCCTCGGGCGAGGCGGCGGCGGGAGCGAACGCCGCGGCCTCTTCCAGCTTACTGGGCAACCTTCCCGAAGAGGCCGCGACAGCAGCTCTCCAAGGCGACGAGGCGGCGCTGCTGGCGTGGCTTGACAGCGGCGGGCGGGCCAACGCGACTTGCGTGGTAGGCGGTGTGAGCGGCTACACCCCGTTGATGCTCGCCGCCAACTACGGCCACGAGCCCGCCAACTACGGCCACGAGCGGGTGGTCAAGCTGCTGCTTCAGCGCGGCGCCGAGATCAACCTACAGAACAGCGAAGGCGGCACCGCGCTGATGAGCGCCGCCTATGAGGGCCACGAGCGGGTGGTCGAGTTGCTGCTTCAGCGCGGCGCGGAGATCGACTTGCGGAGCAGCAAAGGCGGCACCGCGCTGATGGGCGCCGCCGGCCAAGGCCACCCCGCCGTCGTGCTCCGCCTGCTGCGGGCGGGCGCGGATACGAACCTGCGCTCTGAGGACGGCAAGTCCGCGCTGCAGTGGGCGAAGGAGCACGGCCACGCCGAGTGCGTGCGCGCCCTCGAAGAGCATGCGGCGGCGGCGGCGGCTGCGGCGGCAGCGGCGAGGGAGGCGGTGAGAGCGGCGGCGGAGGCGGAGGCGACGCGGCATGCCGAGGCGCTGCTAGCGGGGGAGGAGGCGGAGAAGGAGGCGGGGGAGCGCGCTAGGGAGAGCAAGAAGGCAAAGAACAAGAAGAAGAAGGGGAAGGGGAAGGGCGGCGGGGGCGGCGCTGGGCCGTCGCGGGAGCCCGAGGATGAGGCAGCGATGGCGGCGGGAGAGGAGGCGGAGTTGGCGGCGGCGCTAGAGGAGAGCGCGAGGCTGGAGGTGGAGAGGCGGGCGCCCGACGAGCAAGCGTCGTCCTCTTTGGCTGCAGAGAGGCCGCCTTCGGTGGAGGAGGAGGAGCCGCCGGACGACTTCGTCTGCCCAATCACGACCGAGCTGATGAGCGACCCGGTGATGGCGGCTGACGGGCACGCGTACGAGCGGACGGCGATCGAGCGCTGGCTCGCGACCAAGTCGACGAGCCCGCTAACGGGCGGCGCGCTCGAGCACCCATACCTCACCCCCAACCACATCCTGCGCCGTCAGATCCGGGACTGGGAGGGGGCGCGCAAGGCAGCGTGACCATGCATCCACCCGCACCAGCACCACCCTCGTTCCACGGGGTGCTGGTGGGCGTCTCCCTCACCCCCTCTGGGTAGAGTAGGGCTCGCGAGAAAAAGAATTTTACAACCAAGGAAAAGAATTTGCAACCAAAGAAACCGTCTGTCTTCTACCACGAACTAAAGCCGTACCTCGCACGACCCTGTCCTCCTCCCCCATCCCTCGTGTTTGGGTTTGTCGTCTGTTTTCTTTCTTTCTTTCTTTACACTGGGGGCACGGGACTCTGGCTACTGGCACTAACACAGGAACACCTGGAAAGTGCGTGTTTCGCAGCGTGTGGGTGTGCGTGTTCATCCTTTTTACTTTGAGGCTGTCGCTCCAAAAAAATCCTTTCACGTTTCAGGCTGTCACAGAAAAACACAACCCCGGACCCTCGAGTAGACGCACAAGCAGAAACAGTCCGTCGAGAAACAGCAACGACACAGTCAGAAGTCAGCACTGGGTCCCAGGAAGGCGAGTGCGATGACGGCCTCTAGTGTGAGCTCTAGCTAGTGAGCTCATACGCACGCACGCAGATACATCGCTACTGCATTCGAGGCGGAATTTCACGCGGCGAACACCAAGGAATCAGAGTTCACGGGTGCCGCTGCGCAGGCCGAGGCGCGGTTGGGGTGCCCACCGTGCGCCCGCCCTCGTTGAAGGCGTCGACAACAAAGTCATACTCGACTCCAGCGGACAGCGCGCGCGTCTCCAGCGACGTTGCCCCGCCGTACACCTGGTAACTGTGAAACTGGCCGGGGGCGCCGCGCTCGCCGAAGCGCACCACGTACCACTCCGCCCGTGCCGCCGCGTCCCACGCAACGCTGGCGCGCCGTGCGTCGGCGCTGTCGCGGGTCACTCGCGGCGCGCCGACCCTCGCCGGCGGCTTGACGGCGGCGGTCGTGCCGAATATGCGGAGGTCGGAGAGGCCAAACGCGGCGCCGGCGGGCGTGTGCGCCGAGATGACCCGGAGGTGGCGCAGCGACAGAGGCTGGCGGAGCGCGACGTAGTCGTGCGGCGAGTCGCGCCCGCCCTCCCTGCGGTCGAGTTCGGGGACCACCGTCCACCGCACGCCGTCCGCCGACGCCTCGCAGTAGTACCGGCACGCGTCGCGGAGCGGGAGGCGTCCCGTCTGCTTGGCGCCCACCTGGTGGGGGCCAGGAGGTGGGTGGTGTGGTGTGTGGTGGCCAGGGGGGGAAAGGCGAAGGGAGGCGGCGGTGGCGAGAGAGGTCGGTGGTGGCAAAGGGGGCATCGAAGCGTGTCAGGCGTCGCCTCAGCAAAGTTGAGCTGCACCGCGTAGGCTGTCGCGTTGGCGCCCAGGTCCACCGCCAGCCACTCCCCCGCCGCGCCGGTCTCCGCTGACCAGCACGTGCGGATGTCCTCGTCGAAGGCGCGCGACGGGGCGTTGGCGCCGGAAGTGGAGCTGGCGGTGGCCGGCTTGTGGAGAGACAAAAGCTGCCAGTCGGGGCGCCTAGTGGCAGGTGGAGGAAGGTCTGGCATCCCATGGTGGCACGGGCAGGGGCACAAGGAGCCTTCCAGGGCCAACGTCCAGGTGCTCGTTCTCTGTGTGTCTGTGTCTGTGTGACTGCGTGCGAGATTTGCCTGCCGTCGACGCCAACGGGGAAGTCGCCGAGGTACGTGTCTGCGTTCATCCACTCGCCCTGCACGTGCACCGGGTTGATGACGAGTCGGCGGATGCGCCTCGCGATGACGGCGGTGGTGACGTGCCACAATCCGCCGTCGAGGCCGCGGAAGATGCTGCCATGCCCCGCGCCTCGCATGAAGCCCGTCGGCTTGGCGGAGAAGGGCGAGAAGGGCGAGTACTTGCTGTGGTGGCTGTGGCCTAAGTCGCGGAGGCTCTTCGCCACAAAGAAGCCGTCGCTGTACGTGAAGAATTGCGTGCCGGGCGAGGCATACTGGAGGAAGTATACGCCGCCCACCTTGGTTATCCACGGACCTTCAACATACGGAGCAAGTCTGTAGTCGTCGTTGCCGTTGCCGCTCACCTCCCACCCGTTCCGCGCGGCGTCGGCGAACGCCACCGCGCTGTGGTGCGAGACCTCCCTCCACCCCCGCGCCGGGTCGAGCTCGACGACGTGCGACGCGTTGCCCCCACCTGTCGGGCCCCAAGTCTGGTGGGAACCGTACGCCAGGTACACTCTTCCATCGTCGTCGAGGAAGAGCGCCGGGTCGGCGTACGAGGGCAGGGTCGCCACCTCCCGCCACTTGCCCTTGAACGGGTCGTCGGTGGTATACAGCGCTCTCGAGTGCGACGCGGTGAAGAAGAGCCGGCCCTCCATCTGCATCACCGTCGGCGCGTAGTCGTCGACTGGGAGGCCTACGGGACGTGTCGGGGACACGTCGTGGACGAGTCCCGGACATGGTGTGTTTGAGCCATTTTTAAGTTCAACATATCGCGCCAGTCGGCACGATGAGGGACCATCGGAGCATGTCGTTGGACGCGTAGTACCCGCCATTCTTGGACAGGAAGAGCAAGTACCGCCCGCCGAAGACCACCATGGTCGGGTCCGCCCCTTCGCGGAACGACTCCCCCGTGGTGGGCTGGAAACGGTACGGCAGATCGATCGGGTTGCAGAACGTCGGCGCTGCGGCGGCCGCCCCGCCCACGGCCTCGGCGGCGGCGGCGGCGGTATGGCTCTCGAGAAGCCCACGCGAGCTCCGCTCGGCAACCGCCGCACGCCGCGGTGCAGCGGCCGAGCCTCTTCCCTCCTGCGCCAATGCCACCGCCTGCCGCAGCGTCGGCTCGAGGCACTGGCAGCGGCCCTGCCCTGTTGCGCAATGAGACGTGCCTGCGGCAACCGGCAACGCACGGCGCTGAGCCGTCTCCGCCAAGTGCATCCCGTGGGGAGCTTGGGCTGGGCGAGCCGCCTTGGTCTGACTTGTCCCGCACCACCGCGAGCTCGAAGCAGTTCATCGCGGCGTACAAGCACCCCCTCACGGTGCCGCCCTCCCTGCCGCATTGCTCCTCAGTCTTCCCGCTCCTCTCGTCGGGCGGCCTACGGGACGCGTAACGGACGCGTCGTGGGGGGGCGAGCCCCGGGCATGTGTCGGGTCCGCTCCGCTCGTCTCGCGGCCGGAGGCTGCAGAGCTGAAGCCGCTTGAGGCGGAGGCGGGCTGCCACGGCGGCATACGCTGGCTGGTGGGCGGCGGCCCACGGCGTCACCTACGAAGCTGTGCGGCTCGCGTGACAGGATGAGCCGGCCGGCGGCCGAAGGCGTGAGATTGAGCCGTGTCCCTTGTGCTTGAGAGTGTCTGTCTGTCCTGTCTGTCTGTCTGTCTGTCTGTCTGTCTGTCTGTCTGTCTGCCTGTCTGTCTGTCTGTCTGTCTGTCTGTCTGTGCCATGGTCTGGGGTTTCATCATGCGGGAAGCGAAGCTCGTCTCTGCTACTGCGGCCGCCTCGATGAAGACGGCCGAGGGAGACAGCTGCGGGATGTGCACGAGGTGGGCCCCGTGCGGCGAGATGAGGACATCCGCCTCGGCGTAGCGTCTTACCTGGACAGGCGCAGAAGGCACGGACCGCCGGTGCGAGCGCGTGCTGCGAGTTGGGTGCGAGGTCTCCTCACGCCGTTGATGGTCTCCTCTCTCTTTCCCTCCCTCCCTCCCTCCCTCCCTCCCTCCCTCCCTCCCTCGCTCGCTCGCTCGCTGCTCTCTCTCTCTCGGCTCTCTCTCGGCTCTCCCTCAGCTCTCTCCTCTACGGTGCACGCCTGGTCACAAAGCGAGTCGGGCCGCTCCGGCAGCCGAACCACCTCGAGGGGAGCCTTTGCAGCCCCGGCAGATCGCAGCACGGCGGGAAGGTGCGACCGCAGGGCGGCGATGGTCGCGTTTGACAGACTGCGTCCTCCCACGTGCGGGCCCGGCAGCCGGCACGGGTTCTTGGAGCCGCCGCCGCCGCGCGGGCGGTCGATGATCCGCACCCGGAGAGGGGCGGAGGGCGGCCGCGAGGAGATGCCGCACCGGCGCCAGACGAGGGCGCGGAACGCTTTGCCGGTGGCGGCTGTGAAGGTGCCGCGTGTGCCTTGCGGCCGGAAGGACCTCGTCTTGAGGCAGCGCGGCGCGTCGGTCGTCCCAAAATACAGCCTCGCAGTGGGAAAGGCGTAGGCCAGCAGCTCGCGTGTGAGCGGCAAGGCGTCGTACTGCCACCAGATGATCTCCGGAACGACATATTCCGTAAAGCTGGTCGAGATCATAGGATACGTCAGCTCCAGCGTCTGGTGCCCGATGTTGATGACGAATCGCTGCTTGGACGTCGCTCGAGGGAGGCATGCTTTTGTGTAGGGGCAAGGGACCGTCCAGCACAACCCAGGGGTAGCCGGTGCCATCGTCCTCTGGTCGTGAAACTCGGCGGTTGCGAGGTGTGTGTACTTGTTCTAGGTACGTGAAAACCCGCTGGGACCCGGACGCCAGCACACACGGCTAGATTTCATGGCGGGCCGACTAGGCCCTGGGGTCGGAGTCAGATTCGGTTGGGTGGCCGCGCAGGGCGCGGGCTTCGCTGCTTTCGGGGTCGGTCAGGGAGGGGTCGGGGCGCTGCGGGGGAGCGCGAGGCGGTGCCGGCCTCCTGGGCCACCCGAGAGGCTTCAGCATCTGGGTGCGGCGGCGGCGGGAGGGCGGGCCGGTTGCGGTCGGAAGGAGCTGGGAGGCATTCGCCTTGCGCGGTGGCGGTGGCAGCCGCGCGAGAGAGGGGCCGGCGGGGAGCTCGGAGGCGGTGTAAGAAGCCGATCCCCGTAGTCCGCCCCGCTCCTCCCCATCGGGCCGCGTGAGCGGCCTCGCCTCGCAGATTCGTTTTTCGCGCCTGGGTCAGGCGCGCGGGGCATCCCCCGGGTCGCTCGACCAGCGATCCGAAGAGTGGCCGCTAGGAGAGGGAAAGAGCGGGGCCCACGTCTGTGTCTCTCTCGAGGTTCTCGAGGGGGATATCCTTTGGCCGCGTTGGGTAGCGAGGATTGGTGTATGTCTGTGTCCCTTCCTTTCATATTAACGTCGAAGGCTAGCTCAAAAAGCTAGTTCCCTTCGAGGCAAGATGCTTGGCACGGACGGTCAAAACTCTCTCGGACGGTGGGCAGGCGCGCGATCTTCGCGGTGCTGCGAGACAACACATTATCTAGGCACTGCACGGCTCCTCGGGATTTCTGGGGAGTTGGGACGTGTGCGTGTGTGTGTGTGTGTGTGTGTGTGTGTGTGTGTGTGTGTGTGTGTGTGTGTGTGTGTGTGTGTGTTGGAACTTTTGACGGACGACAGGGCTGAGGCATTCTCACAGGAGATTGCGATCTCGTCAAGTTTGCCTGGCTCTCGCGCACAGCTCGTCACCGACCACGGAGACCTCAATCAGCAATCGATCACTTCGCCTCTGCAGCTAAACTTTGCTGCCACGGCATGGCTGTACATGCCATCGCTTTAGCGCAGGATTGGCATGCAACAGACCGCACGATCAAGTTCCAGACCACCACCGATCCGGCCGTGCTCGAACGCTTCCCGACCATCTACATCATCGGCGTGCAGAAGGCTGCCACGACATCGCTCTCCCACGCGCTGCGCCATGCTGACAACATCGAGACATCCGAGTCAGCCCAGGCTAAGCACTATGCCGGCGAGACGCACTACATTGCCACCTGCTCATGTAGGAGAGCATGCAGCACAGAAGGGTACGCGAGTCTCTGGCTGAACCAGAGCAAGATGCACGCGGCGTCATGGGTAGACTCCGACGGCGACGGTATCGGCGACAACGCCACTCTCAAACTCGACCCGACGCCCAGCACGTTCGCCTCGCCCTCAGGAGCAGCCATCCTTCTCGCCATCTATCCATCAGAGCTGCTCCCGCGCTGTCGACTCATCGTCGCGCTGCGCGAGCCCGCCAGCCGCATGCTCTCATGGTACAACCACCGGCGGCGCGATTACTGGATGGCGAGGCCGCCGCTCTCCGAGCCGAGGAGTTTCTGCGCTCGGCCCGACCTGTTCCGCACCACCCAGCAGATGCCAGCGCTCATGGCCCACGCTGAGCTGAGAGGAGAACGGTTCTTCCCGAGCTTCGACACGACGGCGGCCTGCTGGCTCGAATGGTACAGCAACGTGTCGTCCGCCTTCCTGCGGCAATGGGGGCTGCCCGAAGAGAGCAGCCCGACAGGGATGGCGTACACCAACCCGCTGCTCACGGGGCACTACGCGTCCCATCTGCGGCGTTGGACGTCGACGGGGTGGCCACGCTCGCAGCTCCTCGTGGTGGGCTTTGCGGAGCTGGTCGACCCGGACTCGGACGCCCCGCAGCGCGTCGTCGAGTTTGCGGGCGCCCGTGGCTACACGCCGCCCAAGCTGTACGACTACAATCGGGGTACATCGGTCCCGGCGCACGCCGTCAGCAAGTGGTGGGGGAGGGTGCCACCGGCGGGCCTCGCGTCAAAGCAGGCGAGAATGTGCTGCGAGACATGGGAGCAGCTGAGCCGCCACTACGCCGAGCCCAACAATCGGCTCTATGAGCAGCTCGCGGCCGATCGAAGTGCCGGCACCGCGCCGCCGATGGAGGCGCGGCTGGCGAAGTTCGAGGCGCCGCCGTGCGATGCGAGCTGCACGTCGACGGACGCTGGACGGGTACAAGATGCACCCCTACCGCCTGCCGCTGCGCTCGAAACGTGGCCTGTGTACTCGAGGAGACCACCTCGTGTGTGTGGAGAAGTAACCTACCTTTAGCTTCAAACATGCGCGAAAACGATAGAAGGTTCGAACGTGACACGCAAAAAGCGCGGATTGCCTTGCGCCGAGCCCTATGTGCCCTTCCTGCGCAGCACAACTCCTTGAGTTTCCTCCGTCTCACCAGGCACGAACCTCTGTGTACTCTGTGTCGCCGCCGTCGCTGCGTCGCCGCCGTCGCTGCGTTACTGCCTCGCGCCTCCCCGAATCACCACGGTCGGACACGCATCGCCCACGTTTCCATGCCTCGCTTGCCACAGTCGTCGCCGATCGCCGTGCTTTTCTTCACAGTCGGTGTCCATTCCAAGTACTGCACATCTAACGCACCGAGCCCAGGTAGTGAGATGGCATCGTTGGGGTTCGACCGATGTCTGACTCAGTCTCTCGTTGACGCATGGAACCGAAACGACGAACCGTTCATCCGCGAGCCTCTCACGTTGCCAACGAACCTGACCAACATCACCTACAAGGGCGTTTCTATGCCGCTGAAGGTGGGGACATGCGCCTCGTGGGCCGCTGGCTACACGCTCACGGCTAGCATCATTGATATTCTGCTCCGGGAAGTCCTCGGCATTCAGACCTCCCTTGTGTGCACGTTTGGTGCGCAGCACGCCATCCGCATGGTTGGTGGCTGCTCAAACCCTTTCGACGTCTACGGCAACTGCACGACGAGCTCTGGCGACCCGGAACTCGACCCACCGCTCGCCATGATCCTTGGAGAGACTTGGATTACGAGCCCCGAGGCGTGGGAAACTGCGTCGTCACTGGTCAACATCCTTGGACAAATCGGCTACTATTATGAAGACGGTGTCTATGTAAAGGAGGAGCTAGCAGATGCAGCACTTGCCAACAACGTGATGCTTGCTTGGTGGGAGAGTTACGTTGCGCCTACCAACTACAGTCCTGGTGCCCGCGCCGAACCCAGCGAGTGGTTCGATGATTACACGACCGTCACGGACGACATTAGGAACTACTCGGGCCGCGTCGGCGTGCAAGAAGAGCCGGCATGTGGACTCGATGTGGTGGTGTTAGAGCGCGACCTCCTCCCAAACGGGTTTAACTGTAGCGAGGGCTGGTACTTCACCTCCCACTGTGCAGCGGACAAGTCCAAGTGCGTTCCTGTGGTGCTCATGATGTATGGACATATGGGTCTCAACTTTATCCGCCATGCAGAAGAATTCGGGTACAGATATGCAATCACGTGGTTCAATTGGCCGCACAGTCTCGACTGGGGCGTGCAGTCTGACAAACGCTTCCTCTTGTTCTGTTCAAGCATGCTCACCGTCTGTCAGGAGCGGAACCTCAAAATGGTCTGGGCAGGAAAGCACCACCCGCAGTACCGTCAGAACTTCATCAGCAGCTTGTACAAAACGACGTGGCCAAAGTTGCAGACGGTGCAGCCCAAGGCGTACAACTTGCTCAACCGGATGATCATCGACGAGGAGGACCACACACCAGGTACCTCAGTAGTCGCGACCAACTTGCGCGCGAACATGTCAGAATCAGCCGCCTTTGGCGGTGCCGCGTGCGACTGGGTAAAAGCCCATCGTGAGGACTGGATCAAGTGGGTCGACCGCGTCTGCACTCCTGGCTTCGAATTCCGGCGCTTTTCCGGGCGTTGCGAGATGTGTGTCCCTGGCACTTACTCGCCTGATGGCGAGCCATGTGATGAATGCGTGGATGGGCGGGAAGCGCTCGATTACGGCCAGGACAGGTGCAAACCACCTTGTCCCGGTGGAGAATGGAGGGAGGGTTCAGCGACTGCTTGCTCAGCCTGTCCAGCGGGAACAAGTCGTGACCCTGCATCTGACAGTCACGGGTGAGCCGCCAACGACAAAAGCATCCTGTCCCCCCCCCACCCACCCCCCTCTCCCACCCCTCCCACCCGCCCGGCACAGGTGCCAATGTCTGCCTCCGGGGACCTTCAGCGACACCGAGGGCGCCGCCACATGCAAGCGCTGTGCTATTGGAGAGTTCCAGTCCCGCAATGGAAGCACGGTATGCTCTGCTTGCCCCGACAGCATGACCACCCTTTTCGCCGGAAGTCGTTCGGAGGCTGACTGCATGTGCAAGGCTGGGAGAGAGTTCAACTCCGACAAGTCTGCTTGCGTCGAGTGCGGACTGTTCACTACCGCAAGGGAAGGGGACAACCAATGTTCCATTGATGGCGCCTCTGTGGCCGGGCTTGTCGGCAGCATTTTGGGAGCCCTCGCGCTCATTCCACTCGTCGCCCTTCTCCTCCGTCGCCTCCGAATGCTGGAGCGAGCGCTCGCGGATGCGGCGCTCGAGATGCAGGACGCGCAGTGCATGTTTGTCTTCGTCAAGGCGGAGGTGATCCGCTCTGGCCAATACGAGGCGGCCGGCTATGTGACCCTACCACGGCTGCAGGAGATTGAGGCAAAACATCCAGAGTGGGTGCGAAGGCAGCGATTGCAGCGCCACCTCGCCTTCGGGCGTCACGAGTACCGCGACCGCATCCTCGCCGTGAGCCACCGCTGGGAGCAGCCCGACGCGCCAGACGCGAGCGGAGCGCATATCAGGGCCATTCGCGAGCACTTGCAAGCTTGCCCCTCGATCGAGCTCGTCTGGTATGACTTTTGGTGCGCCTCCGCCACCCCCCCCCCCCCCCTGCCGCACTGGACGCATCCGGTATGACGTATGATTGATTTGCCATAGGTGCATGCCACAGGGGAAGAAGACGCCACCTGAGAAAATTCGCTTCAAACGGATGCTGCAGAACATCAACCTACTCTACCTCGGCTCGTCGGTCCTCATCCTGCAAGAGCTGTCCTACATGTCCCGCTTCTGGCGCGCGCCCCCCCCCCTCTTCCCGGCCGCACAACTCAATATCTTGCGCACTCGCCCCTAATCTCGGACCATCTCCTTGCTCGCGTAGGACCCAGTTCGAGGCGTGGTGTTCGATGCAGGAGGCGTCCGAAGAGGGACTCCGGCCGGCCCCTGCTGCGCGGCGACGTTGTACTGTTGTGCCCATCCTCCAGGCTACAGATATCATGGCCGCCGAGCTCGTGCGAATGTGGGCAGGCTAGTATGCTTGCCTAGTATAAGCTTTGCGCACGCATCGGTCTCTCTAAGGTGCTGCGTGTTTTTAGGTCGGAGCGTGGATGAGGCCATCGAGACGCTGGCGAGCCCTGACGTGACTGTCACCAATCAGAGCGACAAGGAGCTGCAGCTCTACAAGCTGCGCGAGCTCGACTCCTTGGTGTTGGAGGCTGTCCAGCAGTGCATGGGCGGCCATGGCCAAGGCAAGGACAGGTCCTTTAAGGAGACGATGTGAGGCTTTGAAACAGAGCTAGGGCTGTCGAGGCCTACCCATCCATGTGTGTGTGTGCCATCCATGAGCTTTTTTGAGGATGTCGTGTAGCAGTAGAGTGTCGAGTAGACTGATCAGTGGACCGTATAGTAGAGAGTGTTGTCACGACGAGACCGCAGCGGCGCGTAGGCTGGCTGAGGAGGAGGCGGGATTGTTGAGCCGATTCATCAGCGACGGGGGCGCCATCGTCCGATTCGCGTCGCCCATCGAGCTCACGCGGCGCTGATCGTCACGAGCGGGGGCAGTTCATCGGAGGGAAGGACGGACGCAACAAAAAACTTGTTGTTGTTTTAGTTTTTATCACCATCCGCGTGCCGTCATCTCGTGTCTCGCGGCCGGGCGGATGGCTGGTACATAGCCATCGCAGCCATCGGCCGGAGGACGGATGCTGTAGTTTCAGCCATGCGAATTAAGAAGGATGGCTGGAAGCTAGATCTCAGCCATCGGGTGGGAGATCATCTAAGCACAGGATGGCTGTGAAAGAGGGAGCGCAGCCATCCCACTTGGTTGCCGACGACACGGGTTCCGGCTCCTTGCCGCCTGGGGATTGCCGCCGGCAGGGGGCTGGGGCCGCCGTCACTGCGGCAGCAAGATGCGAGTGCTCTCCCCACGGGGGGAGAGGGCGGCGGCGGCCGACAGCCGCCGCGCAGTGCCGGCGTGGGTGAGGGATGGCCTTCTCTGCAGCGTCCTCGCGCGGGGCGAGCGAAGGGCGGGCTCCGTGTCGACGCCTAGTGGACGATGAGTAGCTGTGAGCAGCAGGCGCCGCCTACCCACGAGGCGAGGGCTCCCGTCTCGACGCCTCCCTTGCGCTGCTCAACGGCCGGGCAGACGTACTCGTCCACCGAGTTGAGGTCGAGCGCCTGTTCACAGCGGGACGCGTGAAGAGGCGCCCAGTCACAGCCCCCGAGCCGCACCACCGACCGCCGGCCAGGCGCCTCTTGGAAGCGGCGCCCCCCCGCGCCAGAGTCCTCCGACTCCTCGTCCCGCGAGAAGAAGAGCGCCTGCAGCAGCCGGCCGAAGACGAGGTAGCAGAGCAGCACGCCAAACGCGTAGAAGAAGGGGGTCATCTCCCCGAGGTCGTCGCTCGCCGCGGCGGCGGCCGCCGCCTCGCAGTCCACTGCCACGCCTCCGAACACTTCGTCGAGGAAGCCTCGCTCCTCGCCGCTAGCCCGCTGAGAGCACGTGGCGTACGCCCTCGCACGTTCGACGGCGTGGCTGCGCTCCGCGTAAAAGATGGGTGCCATCGTAACGTGCAGGAAGAGGAGGGCCTGCAGGAAGACGCGAGACCGCTTGGCCAGGTCGTCGTCGTGGGCACTCGGCCGCGCGTACACCTTGATGAGCATGAACTTTTGCACGGCGGCGGAGAGGAGCAGCGAAGTGCCGCCAATGAAGTAGAGGATCGGGGCCTAGGGGAGATCGCCCCAGATCGCCCGAGACTTACCGAGATTACCCATCAATCCTAGGGATGGGGCGCCGCGGGCGCAAAGACAAGCACCACCGCCGCCATCTTGAGCATGTGTGCGTACCTGTGACTCAGCCAACCCTCGGTCAGACGAACACCACCGCCGCCGTCTCGAGCGCGCGCGCGTACCGGTCGGCGAAGCGCCACACCGGCGGCTCGTAGAGGGCCTACTCAATTACTTCTTAATTAATCACCGTTGGTTAATTAAGTACCGCACCGGCGGCTCGTAGAGGGCGTTGATGCTCCGCTGCGCGCGCTTGAAGCGGGCGAGGGCCCGCATAGCGACGACCCTGCACAGCGTGACCACCTCCGAGAAGAGGACGAGCAGCACGATGTCCGTGATTGCGATCACCACCATCTGCGTCACCACCCCCGACTCGCCGTACCAGTCGAAGCCGTAGAGGCGGGTCACCAGCTCGCCGGTCACCTGTCGGAAGGTGGCCTGGGCGGCGCCGAAAGCGGCGGAGGCGCACTGAGCGACGTGCTGGAACGGCTCGCTCAGCGAGGTCGGCTCCTCCCTCAGCTCGTCATGCAGCATCGCCGCGCACAGCCGCACCGCCCCCTCCACCGACTCGTCGCCTGTGGTGGAGGGGTGGCCGATGGCTCACGCGTGCGCCGCTCGCTGACACTATTCGCTGTCACTCCCTTCCCCTCCGACACCTGAGGAGAGGGCGTGCTTCGTCGAGTTGAGGAGCAGCGCGGTGTACCCCTCCCCGTCGGGCAGCGGCGAGTGGACGAGCAGCATGAGCAGCACGTAGTTGAAGATGTAGACGCTCGCCGAGGTGACCTGGTAATGAATTAATCAACGGTAATTATTAATTAAGCAGTTGAAGATGTAGACTCGCCGAGGTGACCATCGTCTTGAGCTCCATCGCGCTCCACGAGCCCGGCTTCTCGAGCTCGACAAGGAAGCCGAGCCCGACGCGAGCGCCGACGTTGAGGCCGACGATGGTGCCTGATCACAGCTGTAGGTGTGACGAGACGCCGTTCACACTCACACCACCCCCGCCCGTCGACGACGGTGCCCGAGATGAGGATGACGAGGCTCTTCTCCGTGTCGATGCCCGGGATGCCGGTCAGCCGCGCGGAGACCCAGTCCACCAGCGGGTGCAGCAGCGCGTCAACGGTGTCGTCGCCGTCGGCGTGCAGCGACGCCGCCGTCTGCCTGATACGTGGTTCATCGCGGTGAGGCACTGGCGAGTGAACTACTCTCGGCTGCCGGCGGGCTGCATCTTGATCTCGGTCATGGTCAGGACGATGTTGAGGGTGAGCATGATCGAGATGACGATGACTGCCCAGTTGACGAGCGGCATCACCCAGCGCCGAAAGGTGGAGCCCTGGGACGGCCAAGGCCTGGGGTCAGGATTCGGGCTGGGGCTGCAGGTCAGACTCGAGTCAGGGGCGCCTCGTACGGGAGGTTCTTCCAGATCAGGTCGGTCGGATCCGGAGCGCGGTGCACGCGCAAGTAGCCGGCGTACCTCGCCACCCTCTCCCCGTCCCTGCCGAAGCAGCCAGGAGGGCGGAGAGGGTACCCGGCGAGCTTGGCGTACCCCATGCCCAGCGCAGCGCCGCCCGCAGCGCCGAACAGCCAGCCAGAGTCCATGCCGAAGGCGCACGCGGCGACGGCGCCGAAGACAAGGCCGAGCAGCGTGCAGATGACGGCCTCGGGGTGGTCGAGCATCCGGAGCCGCCGGAGGCGGTAGCCCAAGCCGAGCGGGTCGCAGCCGCCAAAGAGCAAACCTGCTCACAGCTTTCAAGGTGAAGAGACGCCGTTCACAGGCCGAGTGCTTGCATTCAGCAGAGAGCGGGCCCGCGGTGCCACAGATCACGCCGCCCAAGTTGGCGAGGTGAGAGGGGGAGAGGCCTGGAAAGAAGCCGGCGAGGAGGGCGGAGGAGGGGCCGAAGTAGACCCCCGCAAGCGTGAAGGGGCCGAGGAAGAGCAGCGCGCACACCCAGGAGCCGAGCCGCTCCCACGGCCGCCACGCAGAGCGCGACTGCTCTGCGTCTCCCGCGTACCGGAAGGTGACGAAGCACCGGTCCCCCACCGCCACCGACGAGGCCACGCCGACGCCCGCGCCTCGAGCCGCCACGCTCGACCATCCGCTGGCGCCGCTGCCACAGCCGCGCGCGCCGCCGCACTCCCCTCCCCGCCCACCCGCCGCTCCGCCGGCGGCAGACGCATCTCCCCCTGCACCGCAGCCGCTTCCGCCGCCGCCGCCTCCGCCGCCCTCGCCGCCTCCGCCGCCCTCGCCGCCTCCGCCGCCCTCGCCGCCGCCGCCTCCTCCGCCACCAGCCGCCGCTCGCTCGCTCGCCCCTCGCACCACGTCACCAAGCCTCTGGCGCGAAGGCGACGCGGCGGCGGCGTCGGCCGCCCGGGCCGCCCTTGCCACCTCGGCGAGCCTACTCAATCAATTATTTTCTAATTTCCCGTTGATTGAGCCCGGGCCGCCCTTGCTCCGTCGGCGAGCCGGTTTGCACGCACTCTCCGTGGCGATGACGTCGGGGGAGTCGGCGCGCTCGGCGGGCGCGGCTCGGCGGCAGCCGTGTCTGCTCGCTCCCCAGCGGCCGTCTCCGCGGCGCCGTCCAAATCGATGAGCTCGGCGTAGCCGCCACCTATCAGCGGCGAGTTCAGTGAGTCACAGGGACCGGCTCGTCCGAGTCGATGGGCTCGGCGCAGCCGCCACCGTGTTCGGGTGCGATGGCGCGGGCCCGCCTCCCGCCGCCTCCTGGCAGCTTGCTCGCCACGGAGCGCAGCTGGGCGGCGAGTGCGGCGGTGCCGCCGGTGACCGAGCCGCGCTTTGGGGGCCTCCCGCCAGTCTCGGCAGGAGGCGGCCACTCGCTGCCGGCGCCACGGAGGCTGCCGCGGGCGAGGGCGGTCAGCTGCGCTTCCTTGAGCTCGAGATCGCGAGCATCCTGCCGCTCCTTCTCGTCGATGTCGCGCTCGAAGGAGCCCCAGCCCGCGCAGACCTAACCACTCGGGAAGGGCCTGATCACTGGTTGATGGCCTCATAATTGACTGATGACCCATGCCGGCGCGCAGACCGAGTGCACGACCAAGGCGCTCGTCTCGAGCGGCACGGGCGCCTCGTCGAGGAGAGCGGCGGTGGCGCGCGAGGCGGCGGTGGTGCGGCGGCCGCCAGGCGCGTGCGTCGCAGGAGGCGTGGTCGCGCGTGCGAAGGCGGCGGTGGAGGAGGAGGGAGGGGCGAAGGCCGCGGCCGCCGAGCCGGCAGAGCGCATTGGTGACGCGACGGAGTAGGCCTTGCCTTGCGCCTTGATGCGCGCCTGGAAGTGGCTCGCGACAGAGGAGGCTGCCTCGAGCTCCCTCTGGTGGAGCGGCGCGCGGCGGTACGTGTCTCCGGGCGGGTCGCCGACTAGGTCGAGGGAGAGCTCGGTGTGCGAGAGCTTGCGGCGGGAGCGCTGCCTACTTAGTTATCAAGTACTCTCTCGGTGAGGCACGAATTGATGAATGCATTCGGCGAGAGCGCTGCCTCCGCCGGTCCCACGACCGGACAACCTCTGTCGCGAAGAAGTCTGCGACGTCCTCCTCGCTGCGCACCGCCTCGGGGGGGAGGGAGGAGAGGCCCGACACGGCGACGGCGTAGTCTGCGGCGGAGATGGTCGACTCCTGCGTCGCCTTTGCGCGCCTCGCGTTGTTGGACGCGAGCCAGAGCAGGTACGCGGTGAAGATGACGGTGCCAGCGAGCGAGGTCATCCCGCCGTTGAAGACAGACAGGTTCGCGTCCTTGCCTGACTGGGCGCCGAGGGTGGAGCCGACCAGGAAGAGCTCGAGCCAGTGGCCGCCCATCCCGTCCTCGAGCGCGCCCGCCTCGAGCTGGCTCTGGTAGTGCATGAACATGTTCTTGAGCATCGCCGTCATCGAGACGAACCCCATGCAGAAGAAGCAAAGCGCGAGCGAGTAGAGCTGGCCGAAGAAGAGCTCGACCTGCCCATCGAGAGTGGGCCGTGCCGTGTCTAGTGGGAGAGGGCGTGGGAGAGGCGGAGGTGTAGCGCACCCCGATGCCGAGCTCGTGCAAGTCGGAGGATGCGCCGTCGAACGAGAAGGAGGACGAATCGCGGAAGGAGTACGGCAGCACCAGCAGCATGGGCTGGCCGCGAGAGCTGGAAGGGACGGGGAGAGGCTCCTCCGTCTCGAGCGACTCTTCCGGCGGCACCAAGTACCAGCCGTGCGCGTACTGGCCGCGCGAGTCAGCGATGTTGAGCACCGTCGCCTGTTCACAGGCGCTCCTGCTGTGAAGAGCTGCGGTGGGAGGAGTCGGCGATGTTGAGCACCGGCGCCTCAGACTGGTCCGTCGCGCTGCCGACGCCCAAATCGCACTCGCGCAGCCGCCTCCACGTGTGCGCGTCTCTGCCGACGGGCTTGTCGCTGTTACTCGCCGAGAAGGTCTCGATGATGCCTGGCTCGCAGCTCGAGGTGTGAAGAGACGCTGTCCACAGCCAGAGGTGCGAGGAGGAGGGGCCGAGGCTGCCGTGCTTCGCCGGCCGCGCGTGCATGAGCTCAAGGGGCAGCCTATGAATGCAGGGTCGGCAGAAGCGCTTCCAACGCGCTTGCGGGTGGCACCCGCACCAGCTCGAGCCGGCGGCCTCTCTCCGACGCCTTGCTCGTCCACGGCGATCTTTTGCCACACCGACCCATCCTTCTCCACCTTGGTCTCCGGCCGCATCATGTACCAGTGCGACAGCTCGCCCGGCGGCATGTGGCCGCGCACTTTGACCTGCGGCCGGCGGTGCTGATTAATAAACCAACTAGTTATCTACTTAATCAACGCACTGCTGACCTGCAGCGTGCGGTGCAGCGCTCGCAGCAGCAGCGAACGAGCCTCTGCCTTGCGGTACGCGTCCGGCAGCTTCTGCCGCTGCAGCAGCTGCAGCAGCCGCCTCCGCGCGTCCTGCACAACCTCCTTGACACTGCCTCTCCTAGACCGCGAGCTGGCGATGGGGCGCTGCAGCTGGTAGGCGTCCTGCGTGAAGGTGCGCGTGCGGCGGGGCGGCTCGCGCATGGAGCCGCGCGGGTGCGGCGTGGCGTCCTCCTCGGACGAGGGCGGATCGACGACCTTCAAGAGCACGTCCTCTAACTAATAATTATTATAATTAAGTCCTAGATAATCAGACGAGGGCGGATCGACGACCTTGAAGAGCAATATTAATAATTTATTCGTAGTTAAGTGAACTATGAGACGAGGGGTGAGGGACGACCTTGAAGAGCACGTCGTCGAGCAGCTCCGCCTAGGAATGGATTAATAACCATCAATCAGAGGATAGTTATTAATCACAGGACCTCGTCGAGCTCCGCCTCGCTGCTCCCATCCGCCCGCTTTGGCGGCTTGACCTAATGGCAGTAGTGAGCGACTCTTCAAGAAGAAGCAACACCCAGACGCCAAGCTGCTGAGGGGCGGCTCGGCCTCGTCGTCGTAAAAGTAAACGAAGCCGCCGTCCGGCCAGTAGTTCTCCACGCCTTAATTAATAATTAATAATTCTAATTTAGAGGAGGTACTAATCAGCCGCCGTCCGGCGAGTAGTTCTCCACG